TATTTGTTTGTTCTTTTGGCAGTCCATGTGATTTTCAGTACTTTTCTCCAACACCACAGCTCAAAGTCATCAATTCTTCTTCTGCCACCCGTATTCATTGTCCAGCTCAGAGGCATAGCAAATGATTGGAAAGACCAATGCCTGAATCAGATGCATCTTAGTACTCAAACTGACATCATTACTCCTCAATAATTTGGAGAGGTGCCTAACTGCAGACTTGCCCACTGCAATATGTCTCCTGATTTCCTGAGTGCCGGTACAAAGGGTATTAATTGTGGATCCAAATACGATGAAGTTGTTGATAGTTTCACTCTTTCCTCCATCTTTTAAGATGTTGCTTATCAGTTTAATGGTAAGAATCTTTGTGCTTGGTTGTTTTGTGTTTGTTTTGGTTTTTTTTACACTGAGATGCAATCAGTGAGGTGCATCTTGATATCAACACAACAAAGATTGCATTCTTCTTCATAGTCTATCTTAATTTGGATGCTCACTTTTAAAACAGTATATGCCAGACAAGCATTTTACTCAAAAGAGCAGATGGAAGATCCAAGTGACATCATAGCCAGTGTCAGACGGATCTTGGCTTATAGCAAAGAGTATCAGAGGAATGTTGGTACTATGCAAAGACATTTTGATTGTGTGGATCGGAACAAATTGTGGCTAACCTTGACAAGAATCCTAGAATGCCTGATTGTGCCCATGCAAAACCTGGCTTGGACCAGAAAGCAGTCATCAAAACAGAGCAAGGAAACACTGCATGTTTCAAAATCGAAATAGGGGTGCCTCAGGGATGCATCCTTTCTCCACACCTTTTTAATCTATCTGTGGAACAGATTATTCAGGAGACTTGCTTTATGAGGACGAATGTCACATCAGGATTGGAGGAACACTCATCAACAACCTACACTATACAGATGACACAAACTTGCTTGCTGAAACTGAGGTGGACCGGAAGCATTTGCTGCAGAAAAGGTCAAGGACTGCAGTCTGATAGATGGAGAAGAGATTGAGATTGTTAACAATTTCCGTTTGCTTGGTTCCACAGTCAACACCCTTAGTACCAACAGTCAGGTAATCAAAAGACAAATTGAATTGGGAAAATCTGCTGTCAGGGAACTCTCTAGAGTGCTGAAGAACAATGATGCCAGTCTAAGACTAAGATACGTTTGATCCAGACCATGGTCTTCACAATTCCCTATACATCAGGAAGCTGGACAATAAGGGTGACAGAAGAAGAATAGATGCCTTTGAGTTGTGGTGCTGGAGAAAAACATTGAACATACTACCAAAATAACAAACAGATCTATCCTGGAGAGGATGAAGCCAAGTTGCTCCTTGGAGGCAAGGATTTTGAGGTGGACGATTTATCAACAACCTGTGTTATGCGGATGACACAACCCTGCTTGCTGAAACTGAAGAGGACCTGAAGCGCCTGCTGCAGAGTGTCAAGGACTGCAGCCTACAATATGGATTGAGGCTCAATGTCAAGAAGATAAAGATTCTCACCACTGGACCAATTGGCAGCATCAGGATGGATGGTGAAGAGATTGAGATTGTACACAGCTTTAGTTTGCTTGGCTCCATAGTCAACAGTCTTGGCACCAGCAGCCAGGAAATTAAAAGGCGCATTGCCATGGGAAAGTCTGCTGTTAGGGACCTCTCCAAAGTACTGAAGAGCAATGCGTCTGATACAGGCTTTGGTCTTTCCAATCACTTGTTGGACAATGACCAAGGAGGATAGAAGAAGAATTGATGCCTTTGAGCTGTGGTGCTGGAGAAGAGTATTGAGAATACCATGGACTGCTAGGAAAACAAACAGATTTGTCCTGGAAAGGGTTAAACTGGGTGGCTCCTTGGAGGCAAGGATTCTGAGGCTCCATCTAACATACTTTGGACATGTTGTGAGGAGAGCCTGGTCCTTGGAGAGGGACATCATGCTTGGGAGGGTGGAGGGACGGACAGCGCAGGAGGGGAAGGCCCTCTATGAGGTGGATTGATTCAGTGACTGGGATAATTGGGATGGGAGTGTCAGAGATGGTGCGATTGGCACAGGACAGAGCGGAGTTTAGGGCTGTTGTACATAGGGTCGCTGTGAGTCGCAGGCAACTCGACGGCATATAACAACAACAACAGCTCACATACTTTGGGCTTGTGGCCAGGAGGGACTGGTCCTTGAAGATGGACTTCTAAGTCCATCATGCTTGGAAGGGTGGAGGGACAATGCAAGAAAGGATGACTCAGGATGAGATGGATTGACACAGTAACTGAGTTAATGGGAGTAGGTGGGTTGGAGACAGACTGGCTCAAGATAGGGCAGAGTTCATGTATATAGGGTCACTATGAGTTGTAGTCGACTCAACAGCACGTACCAGCAACAAATGTGTACTGTGCTAACCTAGGGGCACAGAGATAGATAAATCCCTCTCTTGGAAGCTCTCAGGGTGGTGAGTGTGCTACCAAACCAAGAAATACTTTCAAAGCAGGTGCATGAATTTTTTTTATGCACTTCCTGTTCTTGAAATGTCATTTAAGTATTTGTTTATTTGAGTCTGACTGGTTTCAGATTTTGAAGTTCATAGGTAGTATACTCAAATGAGTGAAAACTTCTTGAAAGAGGTGACTTCAGCTTCTCAAATGTTTGTAATGACAGTTTAATACATTAATATTATATATCCGTCTGACATACTTTGGACATGTTGCAAGGCGGGACCAGTCCTTGGAGAGGAACGTCATGCTTGGGAAGGTAGAAGGACAGCGCAGGAGAGGAAGACCCTTGATGAGATGGATTGATTCAGTGTCTGGGGTAATGGGATAAGTGTGTCAGGGACAATAAGATTAGCAAGGGATAGAACAGGGTTTAGGGCTGTTGTACACAGGGTTGCTATGAGTCACAGCCAACTCAATAGCACATAACAACAATAATAACATCCAGCTAATACTATTTTAAAACATTATCTTGATTTTTTTAGGGTTCACTATGGAAATAAAATAGAGGTCGATTTAAAAAATTAGGAATTATCTGCAGTATCACCACTCTGCTGTTAGTTCAAGGGTTTATCTTTCACTCACCTTCATTCCTTCCCTCATCTTGAATTCTCAGAGGAAGGGGCGGAGGAGCTTCCTGTGCATTTAGATGGCGTGTTTGAACACTGGGTTTTGGAGATGGGAGTTTAGGCAAGCCCTTGCCTTGGGCATTGCATGATTTTAAGGTTGAATCAAGATCTCTTTTGAGTGGTGGTGTTAATGGGTGGGATCTAGTTGATTCTGACTCACATTGACAGGAGATGACAGAACAGAAGTGCCCAAAAGGTTTCCTTGTCTGAAATCTTTACCAAAGCAGCCTTCTGGGACTTTCTCCCATAGAGCCCATGGATCGATTCAAACCGCCAACCTTCTGATTAGCTTACACATTTATGCTGCCAGCGTTTCTATTTCTGTTGGCAGAAAGTTGCTTCTCTTTGTTGTTGCCACAAGCATAGCTAAAATTAATGGCAGTGCATGGCTAGGTTTTCCACAACAAATGAAAGTCATTTTATCTTGGTTTTGGTTATAGTAATGTTATTTGCCAGTGAAAGTCTTGCCAATTAAAATCTCTCTTCTTCCAGTAATATTCACCCACAGGAGGATTAGTACATTTCTCAGCTACCAGGGTGGCAGTCTCTTGTGATCCTAACTAGGATGACCACAATTGAAAAACATTCTCTGTCATTAATACACACTCATTTCAGGCAATTTGGAAAATTCAGAAAAGTTTTATAAATGGGGGGAAGAAGAGAGAAAAGAATCTCATTCACAGTTCTACCACCTAGAGAAAACCACAGTTAATATTTTTGTGTATTTCCTTCCAGCCTTTTTTCCTCCCTCATAATATTTTAATATTTACTATAAAAATGTGGTAATATTTTGGAACATTTGAGACATGCAGAAAATGCAATGGAAAAACATTGCAGTCATACGTAATGCCACCACCCAGAAATGGCCACCCTTACCGTCTAATCTTTTCCCATGCATCACTCCTATAATTTTTCATCATCTCTCTCAGCATAAATCACAAGCGCTACGATTTCTGAGTTTGCAAGATAACCTAGGGATAAGTATGAATTTGTCTGGACTCTTCCAGATGCAAGTGACAGAAACCCACTTTACAGTAGCTGAGGCCCAAGGAGGGGGGAGAATTATGATTTCCTGATGACTAGGAAGTTCAGGAATAGAACTGGCTCTGGTATGAATGGACCTCGGGCTGTGCTGTCAACAGGCATCTGCTGGCCACATGTGACTATTAAGCACTTAAAATGTGGCCAGTGCAAGTTGAGATGTGCTGTGAGTGTAAAATACCTGCTGAATTTCAAAGATGTAGTATAAAAGAAAGAGGGAAAATATTCTCTGGTGATCTTTTATGTTGGTTACATGTTGAGATAGTGTTGTTGTTAAGTCCTGCTGAGTCAGAACCGACACACAGCTGACCCTCCAGCAGGTTTTCAGAGGCAGTAAATCACACAGGAGGAGATACTGCTCATCCTTCTCCCGTAGAGCAACTGATGGACTTAAACCATGTGCCTTTTAGCTGGAAGCACAACTCCTTAACACTAAGCCCCCAAAGCTCCCTGATGAGCTATTAGTATGAAAAAAGTTTTAATTACATACTCTAGAAAAGAACAAAGCAAATGCCTTGATGACCCTGTAAGAAATGGTAGTTTTCTTTGTCTCTGAGGTACGAGACTGACATTGTAGAAGAGTCTCAAAGTGAGGGCAACAGACCTGGAGCTTCCACATCACCTGGGAACTTGTCAGACATGTGTTCAAAGGCTCTGGAGGTGGGGCCCAGGGGTCTGTTCAAACAGGGTCTTAGTCACCTTTGTATCTGCCACCTAGCCCCGCCCCTAGCCTGTGACAGGTGCTCAACAAATATTTGTTGAATAAATAAATGTGTGAATGATCAAATAAGATCTGGAGCTATTGCTTACATGTTAATTTTTTTTTATTATTATTTCTAGGATTGGAACATCAGTTAACATCTGACTCCAGGCAGCTCACTCACATCCACCACATCTGGGATCCAGGGAGGAAGCAGGTCGTGGGGTGCATCATGATTTCATCATTCTTGGTATTGGCCATTGGTGCCTGCCTTAGCAACTCCTTAGTGCCAGGTAGGTCTGGGGACCACAGATGGACTGATGGTAAGAGATGGTGTAGGTGGGACAGAATGGGGATCTGTCTATGTTCAAGGTCAATGAGCCATCAAAATATTTTAGAGCTGCAAAACTGAAAAACAAAACAAAACAAAAAAACCCAAAAACCACACCAAATCCCAGTTCTGCTAAAACTTTGTTATGTTGATAGGTTGTTTGTTGTCTTCATCTTCTCTGGGTTTCTTTTATCTCTTTAGTACTCTGAAGTACAATAAATTTGAAATACAAGTAGATTCTTCCAAGTCTGAGTAAGCTAAGTCTCCTGCTGGTTCTGTCCACTTAGTCTCCCTCAGAGTAGTACATTTCCTTGTTTCGTTTCTAATTCTTGTTTGTAAACTCATCTTCAACAATTATCCACTTACTTTTTTTCTCCTGGAGACCCAAGAGGTAGTATTTATGCAGTCTTTCAGAGTCTTTCAGAACCTTAGAGTGCAATTAATTTTTAAATTCTTTATGTTAATGTTTTAATGTGAGGTTCTTACACTGTAAATTAGGGAGCCCTGGCGGTGAGAAGCCTCACTGCCATCATACGGTTCGAGTCCACTCACCGCTCCACAGGAAATGATGGGCAGTCTCCTCTGGTACAGTCTACTTACTGCCTCTGAAAGCCTGCTGGAGGGGCAGCTGAGTTGGTTCTGACTTGAGGGCACATAACAACAGCAACACTATAAATTCAGACTCCCGTTAGGGCTGGCATAAATCTGAAATCCACATTTTTCTTTTCTTTTTTTTTTTATGGTAAGAAAAATTTGTATTTAGAATTAGCCAGCTATACTCAGTTTTCAGCCAGCTATACTCAGTTTAGATGATCCCAGTTCTGTTGGCAAGAATGAAAGCACCATAGTCAGGAGCAAGTCGAACATAGGCCTTCTTCTCTCCATCAGGTCTAATCAAAGTGTTGACCTTGGCCACATCAATGTCATAGAGCTTCTTTACAGGTTTGATTTGGTGCTTGTTGGCCTTGAAATCCACAATGAACACAAGCGTGTTGTTATCTTCTGTCTTCTTCATGGCTGACTCAGTGATCAGGGGAAATCTGATGATGGCATAGTGGTCAGGCTTGTTTCTCCTGGGGGTGCTTTTCTGGGGGTATTTGGGCTGCCTTCAGAATCTCAAGCGTCTTGGGCTGCCGCAAGGTGGGTGACGGGCGGATCTTCTTCTTCTTTTTTTTTTTTTGGCTGTGGATGCCCCTTCAGGACTGCCTTCTTGGCCTTTAATACCTTGCTTTGGCTTCAGTTTTGGGAGGGGCAGGAGCTTCCTTTCTTCGCTTTTGGTGCAATCTTTGTAGAAATCTGAAATCCACATTTTTCTTGACTTGCCTTATCTTCCCATCCTTTCCAAGGTAAATGTCTATAATAAAACTGCTTCCACATTGGACTTGCCTGGACACCTCAAGAATGCTCAACATTGTTTCTGTTTACCTCTCTGTTTTTACAATTCCTCCCGAGGCTTTTCCCTTTTTACCCTCTTTTTTCTTTCAAGTTATGTCCTGTTTTTTGTTTGGTTTTTTTGTGTTTTTTTTTTCATTTGTTGAGCATTTCTGTACCTGGAGCTCGAGAGGGGAGTCCTCCTCCACTTTGTCCTTCATGAAATGGAGGTCCCCTCTACCTTCTCTGAGCCTCAGTTTCTCCATCTGTCCTATCGAGACTGTGATTCCTCCTGCTTAGGCTACTGTGAGAATAACACAGGATTGTCCGTGCCTGGTGGGTGGTGGATGCTCAGTGAAGGTTAGTCTTTCCTCTTAGGAAGAATATGTTTTAAGAGGTGAATAGGCTGAGGCTAGGGACGGGACTACCCTCCCCAGGTCATCCAGCAGGTCAGGAACAAGGCTGGGGATAGAGCCTGGCCTGTTGGGGACCCATGGCTTCCCTCTATCCACTACTCCATAATGCATCCTTGGGAACTGAGAGTTCCTCTGGGATAAAGTTCTTACCTTCTCAATACATCCACATGCATGAAATGGTGAAAGGTGAGAAATAGACTAAATAGAAAAATATTTGGCAATTTCATTTTTTCCCTGTCTTATTTTAGACATTTTAAACCGTGTGTAGTGGTGCATAACAGGGTGGGTTGTGTTTGGTTGTTGGTTATTTTTCTTTTTTAAAAATGTTAGTATTTTTTTTTCCATAGATGGGACTAGAGAGAAAAAGTGGGGTAAGGTATACATCTAAGGGATGCAATTTTTTAAAACGTAGTCGCAAGCGACTCGATGGCACATAACAACATAACAACAACAACATAATCATATGATAATGTCTATATTAGAGAATATAAATAAAAAGAACTAAAAGAAGAAAAACCATTTGCAATCCATAACAAAACAAAGCTAAATATAACTTACAGGAAAAGATACGCATTTGGAATGCCTAATATGATGAATTTTTCACATATATTTACTCACAGGGGTCCCTTGTTGGTGTAGATGGTTACCCTGAACTACTAACAAAAAGGTTAGCAGTTCAAATGCACCCAGAAAAAAAACCCTGAAGACCTGCTTCCCAGAAAACCACAGCCAAGCAAACACTATATAGCAGTCCTACTCTGTAAGACGTGGGGCCACCACGAGCCGGAGTTGACTTGATAGCAATGGGTTTGTCCCCCTGCCCCTGCCTGCCACCCAGGTTTACAACAACCACCCAGATGAAGACAGATCATTCCCAGTCATGGAACACCTAGAGACTTCCTTGTGCCACTCCCAACCAGTCCCAGTGTCATCCCTCCCCCCGGCCCCTGGTCCCCCCTGCACCAAGCCAGAAGAGATAATGAGGCTTACTCCTGCCACCAAAGACTAGTTTTGCCTGTTTTGAACTTCATTTCAATGGAATCAGACAGTATGTACTAAAAAGTATTCTTTGAACATGCTGTTGTACCAAGAGCATTTGCCCACGTCATTCAGTATTCTCCAGAAACAATAGCCTACTGGTATTCATTTGTCTAAACAAGTCACCATGCTTAAACCATCCTCCTGGCAAGAAGTCAACTTGACATCAACTGAACTACGCTCAGGGGTCAGGCACCAGGATGGATCTACAGAAAGAACAAGGGCTCTGCCCTGTCTGGGTTCCCAGCACAGCAGAGATCAAACACAGCTGCGAACTGGGCCAGGCAGTGTCAGAGCTCTTGGGAAACACAGAAAAGGAGCAGCAGATGCCAGCATCGGCCCCGCAGATCAGCTGAGTTGCAGGGACAGGGAGGTTCATCAGTGGTCACTACCAATATGCACTCGAGGCAGGAAAGTGATGGAGCCAGCCCTAAGCCAATGGGATCTCTGACCAAAACCATCAGTCACAGGACACTTATCCAGGGCCAGGCCTTATCCCATTTAACCCTTAAGAACTGCTTGTGGTAGCTACCTTCTCCTACTTTCCTGGGCGGAAAAACTCCAGGGAAGCAATTTGCCTAAAGCGCAGATAGAAGGGTTGGATTCCCAGCTGGGGACCCAGCCTGTGAAGTCTGACCTTGGTGGCCATAGCAGACACCTTCAGAAGAAACAGGTGAACCTGGGGGCTGCCAAGGTGAAAGAAATGGATTAAAGGACTGTGATGGAGATGAAATAAGGGTCCTTCTCACCACATATCTAAGGTGAAAAAGGAGAAGAGGCCTCTGTGGGGATGACATGAAGTGTAGATGGATTGAAGTGCAGACCAGCTTCTCTCCTGTGGAAGGAGCACAACTTCATGGTGACCACACAGATATATGGGCTCTGAGTTCCTCTTTGGTGTCTTCAGTCATATGTAGAAGAGATCATGGTGGTTGTTGGGTACCACTGAGTTGGATCCAACACATTGACTCCATGTACAGCAAAACAAAATACTGCTTGGTCCTGGGCCACCCTCACAAGTCTGAGTGCCCTGTGTGGCCACAGTGTCAATCCTGCACACAGGGTCTTCCTCTTTCTCAGGGATCCTCTATCAAACATTTCGTCCTTCTTCAGGGACGACTCCTGCCTGACAATGTGCCAAAAGCACACAAGACAAAGTCCATCCTCACTTTCAAGGAGCACACTGCTAAGTATGCTGGCTCTAAGTCTAAGTCACATGTGTTCATTCTTCTGGCAGTTCATCAATTTGTTGTTGTTGTGTGCCCTCGAGTCACCTGCGACTTATAGTGACCATATGTACAATAGCGCTGAACCTTGCCTTATCCCAGCCAGTCTCACTGTCTCCAAAATACCATTCCCATCATCTCAGTTACTGTGTCAATCCATCTCATCCAAGGTCTTCTGCTCTTGCGCTGTCCCTCCACCCTTCCAAGCATGATGTTCCTCTCCAGCAACTGATCCTTCTTGGTCACATGCCCAAAGTATGTGAGATGGAGCTTCAAAATCCTTGCCTCCAAGAAGCAGCCTGGTTTCATCTATTCCTTGATAAACCTATTTGGTCTCTTGGTAGTTCATGGTATGTTCAATACTTTTCTCCAGCACCACAACTCAAAGGCATCAAGTCTTCTTCTGCCAACTGTACTCACTGTCCAGCTCTCTGATGTATAGCAAGTAATTGTGAAGACCACGGCCTGAATCAGGCACACCTGTAGCCTCCAGACACACTGCTGCTCATTAGCACTTTGGAGAGGTCCCCCAAATGCTGACAGTAGCTTCCTCAGAGCAATTTGGCTTTTGATTTCTTGACTGCTGGTGCCAAGAGTGTTGACTGTGGAGCCGAGCAAGTTGAAATTGTTAACAACCTCAATCTCTTCTCCATCCAGCATGGTGCTGCCAATTGGTCCAGTGGTGATTATATTTTGTCACCTTGATGTTGAGCTTCAATCCATATTGCAGACTACAGTCCTTGACCTTCTGCAACAAATGCTTCAGGTCTTCCTCAGTTTCAGCGAGCAAGGTTATGTTATCTACATAATGTAAGTTGTTGATGAGTCTTCCTTTAATCTTGATGCCACATTCCTGCTCATAAAGTTCCACCTCCCAAATTATCTGTTCTGCATATAGATTACAAAGGTATGGAGACAGGATGCATCCCCTGACATACTGCTTTCCTGATTTTGAACTATGCAGTGCTTCCCTGCTCTGTTCTGAGGACTGCTTCCTGGTCCAAGTATAGGTTTCACATGAGCACAATCAAGTGTTATGGGATTCCCATTTTTCTCAAGGTTAACCATAATATAATTTGTTGTGATCCACACATCAAATGCCTTTGCATAGTCAATGAAATAGTTCATATTCTTTGTCAACACTGTAATTCAAACACCTCCATTCTTTAATCTTCTTTAGTCATTATGCAGCTTTTATATTGCATGTGAGGTAAATACTATGACTTGGGTCAGGTGCATTTAAGTCTTCAAAGTGACATCATTGCTTTTCCATTCTTTAAAGAGAATTTTTTTCCTCTCCTTTTTGAAGTCGTGTATTGACTTGCTTATAAAGTTCGTGTGCATTGTGTTTCACATTATTCCTCATTCATGTTGTATTTCATACAATCATTCCCATGTATTATGTTTGCTAAAATCAATCATCATTGGACCTTGCCCATCATTATCCAGTCTTTTCAGGTCCCTGCCAGAGCCTTCCCATTTCCTTTACCCCCTCCTTCCACCCACCAAACCATGGTCTCGCCCCCTACCCATCCTCACCCCTCCTAACTCAGTCTCATAAGGACAAATACGGCATAAAGAGATCATTAGCAGTGCAAGGTCATTTAATTGCCTAGTTCACCCCTCATTATTACTGTCATTCACTCACTGCCCTCAAGTCGGTTCTGACTCACAGTGGCCCTCCCTCGGATTTCCGAGGCTGTAAATCTTAACCGGACGAGGCTGTCCATCTCTCTCCAAGTATTAGGGGAGTAACTGGTTACCATTCAGGTGAGGAACAGCCAGGAGACAATTCTTCAGTCAGGACAGTGACTCAGGTATGCTCATAAATCCTCTTACCCAGAGTCTCGTGGCTTTGGGCCAGTGTTACAAAGCTCTCTTAGTCCTCCCACCCCCTCCTACAGCTCTGGCTCTGTGGCATGACGGTTCGTTCCAGGTTAGCTTTCATGTGGACCTCTGGTGCCGCACGGTCTCTGGTTCTCCACCACCTGGTGCTGCTGCTGATAGTGGTGCTCTAGGTCTCTGTCTAATGCAGGAGCCTCTGGCACAAAAGGCTGTACTGCGCTCTCTGCTGCTTCTTCCTTGATGGTAGCAATATTCTCCCTTATTTAATTCCTTGACTACTGTTTCTGGGCATTATAGGATTATGGATTTTGTTTGGGCAAAATGACATCTTTGACAACTCCAATACTTTGTGTACTTATCATGATATTAACTTATTGGTCCATTTGGAGAACTTTTGTTATCTTTGTGTTGAGAAGTAATCCATACTGAAGGCTGTACTCTTTGACATTCATCAGTAAGTACTTCCAGTTCTTTTTACTTTCAGCAAGCAAGGCTGTGTCACCTGCATATTGCAGAATTGTCGGTAAATCTTCTTCTAGTCCTGATGTCATGTTCTTCTTCATATAGACAGACGAGCTTCCCAGATTTTTTGCTTAGCATTCAGATTGAACAAGTATGACTAAACAGTAAAACCCTGCCACACGCCTTCCCTGATTTGACACCATATTTGAATGACTGCCTCTTGGTGTACGGACAGGTACTGAGTGGGCAGAGACAGCTCAAGCTCACTGCTGTCAAGGTGGAACCACCCACAGCTGACCATCCAGGTCAGAAGCTATAAATCGCACAGGAGGAGACTGCCTATCTTTCTCCCTACGAGCAGCTGGTGGATTCAAGCACCCATCTGTGTGTTAGCAGCACAACTCCTTACCACTGGCAGACCATGAGAGCTCCGGCTATTCTCTGCAGTATTATCCATAATGTGATATTCTCCACACAGTTCAATGTCCTTTCATAATCAAGAAAATGCAAGTAAACCTCCTTCTGGTCCCCCTCTGTTTTCAGCCAGGATCCCCCTCCTTCCACATCCTATTCTGAATCCAGCTTGAACTTCTGGCAGTTCCTTCTCAGTACACGGCTACAACCTTCTTCATTATCATCAGCAAAATTTTACTTGTGTATTGATATTAAAGATATGGTTTGATATTTTCTGCATTCTTTTGGATCTCTTTTCTTTGGAATGGGCAAAATATGGATCTTTCCCAGATGTTTTCTACGTAGTTGTCTTCCAGATATCTTGGCAGATGAATGAGCACTTCCAACATTACATCTGCTTTTTGAAACATCTCATTTGGGTCTTCTGTCAGTTCCTGGAGGCTTGTTTTTTTACCAGTGTCTTTGGTGCAAGGTGGACATCTTCTTTCAATATGTTACTGATCATATGTGACCTTCTGAAATGACTGAATGGCTACCAATTCTCTCTGGTACTGGACCTGTGTATTTCTTTTGTCTTCTTTTGTTGCTTTCTGCATCATTCAACATCTTACCACAGAATCCTTCAATATTGCAACTTGGGTTTGAATATTTTTTCTTCTTCAGGTCTTTCAGCTTGAGAAATGACAAAACGTGTTTTGGGGTTTTTTTTTTTGTTTTGGGGTTTTTTTTGCTAACTTCTGCACATTTTATTGTAATACTTTACCTTGTCTTCCCAAGCTGCCCTTTGAGATCTTTATTCTGTTAGCTCATCTGCTCTACCCTATAAGGAGGTGCTGCTACATGTGGAGTTCTTGGTTCACTGTCTAGAAACAAAGTGTGTGTGAGGCAGGCGAGCTCTTCTCACTCACAGCTCTGCGGAGAGGCAAGGGTGGACCTGAGCTGGCCAAGGGAAGGAGATTGTGTCCCCAGCTCACAAGAATGCAGAGGGGCCTTGGACAAGACTCTCCTACCTCTCCTGTGCAATTAGAGGTCATTGAAAGAGGGTTCCCTTTCAATGAAGGGCTAGCAACATCCTTATTTCAGACTTCTGTATCTCAGTGGACAGGTGTTATGGGGAGAGCCCTGTAGACAGTGGGAATGACCTACTGCTGTGGTCAGGGACCCCAGGCCTTTATGAAGAGGGAAAGGGCCTTCCAACCTGCAGGTAGAATTATGAGGAAGGATTATCTACCAACTTGGGTTGACTCCTGTGTACCAGACATACTATTTGACATATCTAATACAGTCATCAAACCAACTCCAAGAGGAAGCTGCAGGTATCACCATTTGACAGGGGAGGGAACTATGGCTTAAGGAGGTGACATACCCAGAGTTGCACAGCTGGTACTTGGTACAGCTGAGATACTGAGTTCTGACTAGTGTTTTCTACTGGTGAACTGGTTGCTGCACACACAAATGAGAGAGAGAGAGAGAGGAGATGGTGTCTCTGGCCCCATTCTAACTTCAAACTTAAGTCTATGTGGGAGTCCTCATCAGTGATGAAAGATGGGTGGAAGGTTAGGGACACAGGACCTCCTTGTTCATTTGCCCCAGCAGATGCCTCAAATAAAACAAAAAAGTTGTTGGATATTAAAGGACTACGTTCAATACATTTAAACAAAGGGCAATTGCTCTCTGATACTGCTCTTAATGGTGTTAAGTAATGCTGCTGCTGAACTTGCTTTAATGAGTAAGCTGAGCAGAGTTTATAATTGATGGCTAGATACATTTAGGAACTCGTACAGTTGGAAGTAGTTTATTCCCTTGAATAGGTTAAACATTACCTTTCTAATAGTGCTAGCATAATTTATTTGCTGCCTTAGCAGAACCCCTTTCTCTCCTGGGTGGGCAGAATGTGTGTGGACTTTGGATGAAGGCCAGTTCTGGTGGTGTCTGCCAGTGCTGTGTGGCCTTAGGTGAGATGTATGGTATCTCTGAGCATCTTTCTTCATTCTTAATGTGGAAAGAAGACTCGAAGATTCACAGGCTTGTTGGAGGATCTGACTGGCATAACATTTGCCAGCTACAAGATGGACAAATACCACATTCTCCTCCAAGTCCAGGCTGTTCGGTTCTCAGCCATGAGATGTTGGGGCGTCCATAAGTCCAAGGAGGGGAGGCTATCCCTACCCTGTCAAATAACTGCCAATCTCTTACACAGAGAAAGAGAAAGACCCCAATTACTGGCGAGTCCAGGCTCAGCAGACACTGAAAAATGCCCTGGAACTTCAGAATCTCAACACAAACGTGGCCAAGAATGTCATCATGTTCCTGGGGGATGGTAAGGCCTGCGGGCTCAAGGGAGGGGCCAGATGGGGTACCCAGTAGGACCCCAGGGAACCAGACTAAATTGAAGGGGGCTGTGTTGAAGGGGAGGCGGGTAGCCCAGAAAGTGGCTGTGTTTAAGGAGATGGGAAGGGCCAGGCTGAGGATGACTCTCCAGAGAGTCTGGAGAGGGCTACCTTTATCGATGGCCACCCTCCAACGCCTGCCGCTCACGCCTGACGCCAGACACAGAGAACGCTTTAGAAGAGCAAGGAGTCACAGAGACTGAGGCCCTCCACTCCTTGCCACAGGGATGGGTGTCTCCACGGTGACAGCCGCTCGGATCCTCAAGGGTCAGCTACACCACAAGCCTGGGGAGGAGACCAGACTAGAGATGGACAAGTTTCCCTTCGTGGCCCTTTCCAAGGTGAGCCCCAGCCCCAAGCCATCTTGTCCCCAACCTGTCATCTCTCAACTTGGCAACATGGGTAAAAAGGCAGAGGAATGGTGCCCTCTAGCTGGACTCGAGTCCATGCATCCTGCCAGGCGTCCAGTTTTCTTGAGTCTCAGTCGCCCTACTATGAAATGAGGGCAGCCGTAGCTCTTCTCAAGAATGTTTTAAAGGGACTTAGCGTATTCGTTAAAAAATGTTTTTCATCCACTTCCTAAATAACATGCCTCCGGAAACCCTGTGAACGTAAGTAAATGTCGGTAGTTGTAGTGGGGTTCAGGTCTTTTGTTCATAGGGTCACTAATGAGTCGTGCTCAACTCGAAGGCAATCAACAACAACAGCATCATGTTGATATTAGTGTCCACTGATGCAGCCTTTGTTTGATTCACGGTGACCCCATGAACAAGGAAACAAAATTCTGCCTGGATCTGAGCCATCCTTATGATCAATTGCAGATCCATAGGGTTTTCACTGGCTGATTTTTCAGGAGGTCACCAGGCCTTTCTACCTAGTCTGTCTTAGCCTGGGTGCTTCACTGAAACCTTCACTCGATGGCTCATAACAACAACAACTAGAGGTCTGAAAGTGGATGGAGAATGGCCCAGGGCATCAGCCTCTTGTTCCCACCACGCCATCTTCTCTTTCAGATCCTATCTCCCCCGCACTGCTCCCCCTTTTCCCAATGCCCCATCCCTTCAAGAACCCCTGCCTTCTTTAGGGCATACCTGTTCCCTCACCACTTGACAGCTCCTGTAGCTCCAGCCCAAAGAGAGTCCTCAGCTAACCCAGCCTGCTCCCAGCCAAGCCCGCTGCCAAACCCTCTGCTCTGTATGTCGGACACCTGCGTTCTGGCCCCTTTTATTGTGCTTTAGCTACCTTGGCCCAGCGAGTGAGGCAGGAAGTAGAAAGCAAGGTGCATCTCCAGGAGACCTCGGCGAGTCACATCTGGTGCCCTTGAATGTGCACAGGGGAGGGTGGACAGCATCGTGGCCCGAGCCCTGGCCATCTCCTGACCCTCCTTCACCACTTGCAGACATACAACACGAACGCTCAGGTCCCTGACAGCGCAGGCACTGCCACAGCCTACTTGTGTGGGGTGAAGGCCAACGAGGGCACCGTGGGGGTGAGTGCAGCGACCGAGCGCTCCCACTGCAACACCACTCAGGGGAACGAGGTCACCTCCATCCTGCGCTGGGCCAAGGACGCTGGTGAGTCAGGGGATGGGGGGGCAGCAGGGATCAGGGGCCAGGCATGGGCCTCAGCCTTCCAAACTGTACAATGGGGAGACAGCTGAAGATTTCCCCTTTGGCTCTTCTGGTTTCTATGTCCTAGGAGTCCACGAGACATTTCTACTGCCCCTCTCACGGTAAAGAAGGCTAATGCGTTAGAGGCAGATTCTAGTTTCAGCTCTGCCACTGAGCAGTGGCAGACAAGCCCCCCAACCTGATAACTTTATTTCCAAGTCCCTGGGTAGTACAAATGGTAGCTGCATTCAGCAGGATTCAGGTGCCTTGGGAGAAAGGCCTTGTGATTTACTTCTAAAAAATGAGCCACCTAAAAGCCCTGCTCTGATACACAGAGGGTCACCATGAGCTTGACTGAGTGACATCTGGTTATCCACTTGACTGTGCATGAAATGAGCATGAAAACACAGCCCTCTCAAGGCTGGAGTGTGAAAAGAGAAGAAGATGATAGAAAGACCTAGCCCCGCTCCTGTTCCTTCTCCATTGGAAGATGAGAGAGCTTACAGTAGGGTGGCCTGGCCTGTACCTCCGGGAACTGTGGAATCGAGGTACAAGGCGGACTGACACAGGTGACAAAGACCTCACTTATAAAATCTGTGAGGGGTTCCTATGAGGTGGGGACCTTCTCAAGAAGTGAGGTTGTGCTGGGTCCTGTGCGGAGAGGAGGAATCCAGCCTGAGTGTTCAGACTATCAGGAGGGTAGAAGGGTTACAGGGCCAGCATGCTGAATGGCCAGGGCATTTGGGAGCCACCATCCACACCCTTTGTCCGGATGGAGAGACTGAGGCCCAGGCAGTCAATGGAGCTGTTGGGAGGCAGCATAGATAGCCCCACCTTCAGGTGATACACCCCTCTTTCTCTTGCACTCCAGGGAAGTCTGTGGGCATCGTGACCACCACTCGAGTGAACCATGCCACTCCCAGTGCTGCCTACGCCCACTCTGCTGATCGAGACTGGTACTCAGACAACGAGATGCCCCCAGAGGCCCTGAGCCAGGGCTGCAAAGATATTGCTTATCAGCTCATGCACAACATCAGGGACATTGAGGTGAGGCAGTCAGGGCTGGGGCAGTGGGGCCTCAGGGGGTAGGAAACCTCAGGTCCAGGCTAGCCCGGGAAAAGCTGCTTGGTCTGGCTGCCCACACACCTGAGAGGTCTCCCAGCACATTAGAGGATTTGTGGTTGGGGCAAAGAGGCACTGGGGGATTTCTCTGCGGTGGGGCTGGGGGTGAATCCTGATGCAGCCACCACCACACCCCAAAAACCAGGCGCCCAGGGATTAGTCCCAAAATTAGAACTTGGCATAGAATTTGCCTCAGCATGGGAGGTGGGGGTGGCACAGTGGTCATGCAAGACTACCGGCCCTGCGTATACCTTCACAGACAGCAGCTTTCCCACGCACGCACCCTCTCACTTAGCACAAAGACACACTTGGAAAAGAGGCAGTACAAACAACAGTTGATGCAAGCTCTCATTTTAAACTTCCTGGTTTCACCTCTTAAACCTGCCATTTGCTAGCTGTGTGATGTCAGGTCAGTTATTTGACCTCTCAGGGCCTCTATCTGCCCCTTTGGGAAACATACTTAACCTCCAGAAGCCCACTGGGAGCACTGTTATTGTTGTTTGGTGCCATCGAGTCGTAGACGACTCATAGCGACCCTATGAACGAACAGCCTGAGCACTGTTCGTACATGGAGTTTCCGGAGGCAAGCCATTTCGGACATGGATGCCGCTCCTGCTTCCAGGCTTGATTTAGTTGGGAAGCACTGGGAGCACTAGGTAAGGGAATTCCTCATGGAGAGTTTAGCCCAAGGCCTGACATGGAGTTAGTGCCTAGAAAGTGGTGGCATCTATTCGGGAGCCACAGGTCCCTACTCTAAACACACATCAACATGCCAAGCAGGCCACGCATGCAGGCATCACACGGGCCCCACAGCCCTGTCCACTTGATGCACAGACTGGTCCTTCCACACTCTTCTCACTGAGTATTTCTGGCTTGTTCCTTTCACAGCTGTTACCCATGTGGGTAGAGTTAGGGAGGGAGAAGTGAGTCCCCTGAGCCTGAAAAGGGTGCTCACTGAGACTCAGAGAAATCCCTCAGACCCTCGCCACCCCTCACTTCTGTATCTCCTACTGCCAAATCTGTGCTTTCCCATCCTCTGTAACGCTTCACCCCAATTTCCAAGCGCCACCTGGCCCCTTTACTAACCCATGTCTTCCCTCTCCCAAGCAACAGATTGAACACCATCTTTATCTTTCAAGACAAAGAATTCTGTTGCTCCCATCAAGTGAGCAGACATTTAGGGCAAAGTCACCTCATTCTAGGCCAAGGCCTAGAGCCTCAGTTTCCCCACCAAAAAAAAAAAAAACAGGAACAAAGAGCCCCACCTGCCCCCTCTGGGGCCATTGGAGGCCAAGATGAGGTCATGGATGTGAGAACATTTGTTGGACAAGAGCAGGGTGTAATTACCGGGCCGCTCTTTAGAGAGATTTGGCAGGCTCAGACCTAGATGGGGGTCAGAAGCTTGAGGGAGGGGCTTTCTAGCTGGGTTGGGGGTTGGAGGCTGCTGGAGAGTCCCCAAGAGAGCAGTGGAACAGGATGAGAAGAAAGGACAAGAGACATCCGTGAAGATTCCTCCCCTTCCACTCTGTATCCCCCTCCTCTTCCCTCCATCACCCCTGCATCCCCTCACCCCAAAATGCCTAAGTCCCCAGGCTGTCCATGAAACACAAATCCTGGTGTCCGCCCTGAAAATAAATATCTCTTGCTAAAAAAAAAAAAGGCGATGAAGAAGAAAGAAAGACACAAACCCAAACCCCAAAGCCAAACAGCAAGTCTGTTATTTGGGAGTTTAATGAGCCCGTGTGAAGTCCCTGCTGGGCTGGAAACGATGAGGCTCTGGCAAGAAGATTGGGGGCTTCGTTTTCCACCCTGGAAATGCCAAGGGGTCAGGTTCTGTGGGAATGCGGTAGGGGAAGAGGGCCAGTGACCTGGGGTCCCCTTCTTCCCCCCTCTGCTTCCCCTGCCACTCCTCCCCAGGCTGGGGCGAGAGCAAAGCGCTTGCTTCTCTGGAAACCCTTTTCTTTGTATTGCTCCGAGCAGGACGAACAGCTATCAGAGTCCCCATGAGTGCGGGGGCCATGCTGGATTGTTCTATTTCCTCCCATGCCACTCCTATGGGGAGGTGCCAGGACCACTTCACAGATAGGAAACTGAGACTCAGAGAAGCTAAGACACAGGCGGTGGGTCCGTAGGCAGTGGAGTAAGGATCCAAATCCAAGGCTGACACCAGAGATCCTGCCCTTTCCAGTACCCACGGTCCGGGCTCGTCCTGGGATACCGGCCTCACCTCCACCCCTGCCTGGGCTCCTGACTCCCTTTTGGCCCTGAAGACAGTAGGTTCTGAGGAAGGAGACAGGATACAAGGTAAAGAAGGGGCTATGAAGTACCAGGCCTGGTGACAGTGGTACTGGGGCCAGGGCCAGCTGGACTCTGCTCTCCCAAGGTGTCGGCCACAGGCAGCAGCCTGGGCTGGAGCCCACGGTGACAGGAGGACACCAGTGTGGTGGTCACCGCAGGCGGCGGCTGTTTTCCTCTTGGCCCCCATTTTAAAAATAGTCAGGACTTCAAACATGGACTCCCAAGGAAAACAAACAGCCCCGCGTCCATCCGCCCGCAAACAGCAGCGGGGTGGGTAAAATTAGCCTGGCCGTGATTACACAGACGGTGAGTCCCAGTCCCACTGTTTGCCCAGGCTGCGGTGGGCCAGCTCCCAGCTGGGCTGCCCCGAGACCTCCCTGGCTGGGGCCTCTCGCCTGCCTCACTGTGGGGAGAGGAGGCTCTGAGGCCCTGTCCCCGGCTCGGTGGACAGAGCCCAGCCCTGGCACCAGAATCAGAGAAGCCTTGATTTTGAATCCTGACTCTGCCATTTACTAGCTGTATGACCTTGGGGGACAGAAATCACTGTTTCTTTCTTTGCAAGATCAGCTGACACCTTTCCCTCTTGCAGCTTTGCTGTGAGATGAACAGCATGATGTTAACACAATGTATCTTGTCACCATTTGGTGAACATGCAATCTGTGGTATTACTTTTATAAAGTGGGAGTTGTGCATCAGGCTTCTGGAAAGCCAGATAGCCAGTTAAGGTAGGTTATTTGTGGATGTCCTAGGCTTAGTTTGCTACAAGTTGTGCTGGTAACTGAAGGGTCATAGGTTCAAATCCACCACTGCTCCACAAAAGAAAACTGGACAGTCTCCTCCAGTAGAGATTTACAGCCTCAAAAACTGGCAGAGAGTTGTAATGGATTGGAATTGATTCCACAGCAAGGGGTTCTGGGTAATATGAACTCTCAGTTGCTGATAGAAGTATTGGAGATTCAAGTCTACCAGAAATGCCCCCGAAGATAGGCATGACAGTGTGTTTGTTTTTAATCATCCTTTAAAAACTATGGAACACAGTTGTATCCCACACACATGACATCACTATGAGCTGGAACTGTTTTAACAGTAATTAGTTTTAAGCATCTCCAACATTTCACCTGAAAAACAGTGCCCCAGAAGACGCATGTTTCCATTTTATAGGTCAGGCAGAAGCTGATTTTACTCCCCAGGTTAGAAGGGTCAGGTGGACCGAACTCACCAAGCTGGAGAAGTGTCCACACCGTCCGTAGGGTCTAGCTGTCCAGATTGAGGCCACTGAGGTCCCACATGTCTTGGGACTCCACAGTTCTGATGGCTACTGTCCTTTTTAGGTGATCATGGGAGGTGGCCGGAAGTATATGTTCCCCAAAAATAGAACTGACGTGGAGTATGAGATGGATGAGAAGGCCAGGGGCACCAGGCTAGATGGCCTGAACCTCATCGACATCTGGAAGAGCTTCAAACCAAGACACAAGGTAGTGTACAAGCAGACTGCAGAGGTGGCGCGCGGTGTGACAGGGCCGGCTGCCGCAATCTGAGTCTCAGTTTGCTACTCTGTAAAATGGGAGTTCTTACCTCCATGGAGTTCTCGACAGGGCTAACAGATATGATTGGCACATACTAGTAATCAGGCCATTCTTTCCCTCTCGTATGGGTCTCAGGGATGATTCTCAGAAGGAATAAATAGTCTGTCAACGTAAGCACCTTCTGTAGCTGGGGATCAAGTGCAAAGGGTAGTGGAAAAAAATTAAAGCGCTGTGTGCAAAACAAGAAAACCAAGGTCTACAGGAGCCCAGAGGGACAAACTACATGGCAGCGGTCGAGCACTGTGAACATGCGCAGTGGAAGCACCAAGGAGGAGGAGGAGAGACACCTGCTGGAGGGGGATGTGTTGGATGGGAGCTAGGGACACAGGTCCAGTAGGGATGTGTCATGCAAACATCGGGATCAGGAGGGCGAAAGGCAAGCCTGAACAGTGAGCTCACTTTGACCAGAGTGAAGGAATGGGCAGGAAGTCTGGCCGTGGGAATGGCCCTTTAAATCTGCGGCAGCCTGCTAGGCACGGGGCAGCTGGGGTCTGGAAATGACTGTGGTCAGTGCTAAAGACAGTGGGGAACAGTCTGGCAGCCACTTTGATGTCACTCTGAAGTTTGGTTTCTGAGGGTTCCAGGACTGGCCCTTGGGGAGGCCTGGTGGGATGGGGCTGAGCCAAGAGTGTGGTGGGGGCAGGGGCCCCCAGGAATGACCCCCACAGAGTGGGGTGGGGGTGACTGCGTGGCTTTAAATCCTTTCCATTCCTCTGAGTCAGCTATGCCTGGGTCAGAGCCCCATCCTGGCCCAAGCTCAGGAGATGCCTTTCCTTCCTGCCTCAGTTTCTCCATGTAGAAGGAGTTTAAGCCTTCCGGCGCAATGGAATGCTTCTCCTAGAACTCAGTATAGACTCCCAAGATACAGAGAGGGCACCCAGCCCTGCCCTGGGACTGGGCCTGGCAGGGTGTCCCTGTGGGGCTCCTCATAGACCATATATTGCTTTTTAAAAATTCATTCTTTGAGTGATGGTTTACTATTCCTTGGTTTCTCATATAATCAATCATTCACAGACATTTTGTTTTATAATATTCTTTGCCATTGATTAGTGTGATTGATTAATTAATTAACTACAATGGAAAGCATACATTTCTAGAAGAAAGTTCTTTAACCTCTTGGTTGCTGTATTATCTGTGTGCTTCAATGTCTGCCTCTGTAAAATGGGACTGAGCATTGGAGGGCTGATGTGAGGATTAAGTGAGATGATCCAGGGAAACCTCCTTGGAGAAGCAGAGGTCACTTCTAGAGCTGCCCTGCCTCGGTCTCTCACCCTCCCCACAGCAGCTCTAAGGCTGTTGGAGGGAAGACGTTTGAAAACCACTGATCCCAATGCCTGAGCCAGAGGAGGCAAAGCTATCCCAAGGACATACCACTTATCCTTGGCAGTGCTGGGAATCCCCATTCTAGGCCCAGGAAGGTGCCATCTCCAGGCCGAGGTGGGCCCTTAAGAAGTACTTCCTGTCGTGTCCCTGCCCTGGATCAGGGGTGATCCCTCCCTCTTAGACAGAGTAGACCTGGGACTTTGCTTCCTCCTTGGTTCTCCAAGGCCCTAGAACCTCCATAGCCCACCCACTCAGCAGGCACTCCAGGTACTTACTGACTTGTCCCTGCCTCTCTCTTTTGCCCCATGATCCCTGCTTGGAACAACTCCCTGACCCCAAGTTGATCAGTACCTACTTGTCTTCCAGGTTCCAGTAAGAACATCACCTTAAAAAAAAAAATCACCTCATTCAAGAAGCCCTCCATGATCCCTGCATCTGGCATCTCCTGCCCTCCCCCATGAATACTTGTCCTCTATGTTATAATTGTCTGTGTGTTGTGATTTCTTGAGGTCAGAAATAGTAGTCTTAAGGGAGGGGTGGTTCATTGACTGGAGAAACAAATATCCTCCTGCCCCCCTCAAGTCCCTGGCATGCACTGACATGGCCTCTTCCTTCTAGCACTCCCACTACGTCTGGAACCGCACCGAACTCCTGGCCCTCGACCTCCGTGCTGTGGACTATCTGTTGGGTGAGTAAGTAGAGGGCACACATTGAGTTCTATGGCCAGGACTGGATGAGTCTGGACCTGGGCTGAGGCCCCAGTGTATCCTTTTCCCTATTAGAGACCTTTGCCCTTGGGTGTCAAAACCTGAGAAGGTTAAAAAAGTAAGTTCTTATTCTGAAATCTGATAGCTGTGCAGGCAATTAGCCCCACCGGGTAAAGGCTCAAAGCCGGATGCCTAAAGGAACCCCCAATCATACACTGAGCCCTCTAATTGCCTGAGTCTCAAGGCCTATGTCCGATGCCTAACACAGTCTGGGACCTCAATTGTATATACAGTCCCGCTCATGAAGCTTAGAGCATGGAGAGTGGGTCAGTATAGCTCCACCACCTGTGAGCGTGAGCTTCAGTTTTCTCATCTCACTCACTCACTACTGTCCAGTTAGCACTGACTGATAGCTGGCCACCCGGTGGGTTTCTGAGGCTGTAAATCACATGAGAGGAGACTGACCAACTTTCTCCTCAGGGACTCCTGGTGGATTTGAACTACCAGAGAGGTCTTTGGATTAAAAGCACAACTAACATTCTATGGAGCATCCCTCCTCTTCTGTGAGGTAGAGATAATGGCGTCTATAAAATGAGATGTCCGTTTGAGGACTAAGGTGCGCCTGATTCAAGCCATGGTCTTTCTGATCACTTGCTATGCATCTGAAAACTGGACCATGAATAGGGATGACAGAAGAACTGACGCCTTTGAGTTGTGGTGTTGGAGAAGAACAATGATCTTGCATGGGCGGCCAAGAGAATGAACAGATATGTTTTGGAGAGGGCGCAGTCAGAGTGCTCTTTGGAGGCAAGGATGATGAGGCTTCACCTCACATACTTTGGGCATGTTGCTAAGAGGGGCTGTTCCTTAGAGAGGGACATCAAGCTGGGGAAGATGGAGGGTCAGTGAAGTAGCGGAAGACCCTCAAGCAGATGGATTAACGCAGTGACTGCCACAATGGGCTCCAGCGTGTCGGGAAGTGTGAGGATGGCATAAGATAGGACAGGGTTCAGATCGACTGTTCAGAGGGTCACTATGGGTCGTACTCAACTTGATGGCACCTAACAACAACAACAACATAAAATGAGGGTTATGATAGCATCTGTAAGCATTGTTGTGAGGATTACATAGCTAATGTGTTGTTTAAATTATCCATTCCCAAACAGATAATTTCTGACAAATTACCTCGAGGTTTAGCAGTTTGGATAAGTTGGTATATGCCGTCAAGTCAGTTCTGATTCACAGCAACCCTCTGTGTGACAGCGCGAAAAGCTGCCTGGTCCTTACGATATTTGCTACAGACGAGCAGTCATTGTGTCAATCCAGCTCCCTGACTTCCTCTTTTTCACTAACTTTACCAAGCTTGAGCTCTTTCTCTAAAGACTGACTTCTCCTAAAAATATGTCCAGAGTACGTGAGAGAAGTCTTGCCATCCTTGCTTCCAAAGAGCATGCTGGCTTCACTTCTTCCAAGGCAGTTTTGTTTATCCTTCTGGCTCTCTGTGGTTTGTTCCATAGTCTTTGCCAACGCCCTAATTCAAAAGCTTCAGGTCCTTGGTTTTCCTTAACTCATTGTCTAGTTTCGCCTGCATATAGAGGCAATTGAAAATGCCGTGATCAGGTACACTTTCATCCTCCACATGATGACTTTGCTTTTTAATACTTCAAGAGGCCTTTGGTAGCCGATTTACCCAAGGCAATAATATGCTGTTTGATTTCTTGACTATTGTGTCCATGAGTATTGACTTTGGGTGCAAAAAAAATTAAATCCTTGACCACTTCAGTCTTTTATGTGTTTATAATATCATAATGCTTTTTTGTTGGTTCATTTTTGTGGATTTTTCTTCTTATCCTGAAATATAATCCAAAGTATTTGATCTTCATCAGCAAGTGCTTCAAGTCTCCTTCACTTTCAGCAAGCAAGTTTGTATCATCTGCATGAGGCAGGTTGTTGATGAATCTTCCTTCAGTCCTGAAGTTAAATTCTACTTCATGGAATCCAGCTTCTGTAATTATGCAACCTATAAATTGCACGTATATAGTGAAAATAGACAACACTGGTGAATACTTTTTCCTGATTTTAAACCACATAGTGTCATCTTGTTCTGTCCCAACAATCATATCTTGGTCCATGTACACGTTTCACATAAACACAGTTAAATGTCTGTCAGGAATTCCATTCTTTGTTATCAGTGTTATAGTTAATTTGTTATGGTCCACAAAGCCTTTGCATAATCACCTTTCTGATATTCTCTACATCCCACCAAGATCCATTTGACTGTAGTCCCCAGTGATAATCCTTGTTCTGATAATGTTCTTCTGAACCCAACTTGAATTTCTGGCTGTTTCCTGTTAATTAACTGCTCCAACTATATTTTTTTTTTCATGATCTTCAGCAAGATTTTATTTGTGTTGTATTAATGATAGTGTTTAAAAATTTCTACATTCTGTTGGACCATCTTTCTTTGAAATGAACACAAGTACAGATCTCTGCCAGTTGGGTGGTCAGGTACCTGTCTTCCAAATATTTTGGCGTAGATGACTGACTGAAATGCATCCCGCATTGCATCTTTTAAAGTATCCCAACTGGTATTCCATCTATTCTAAGAACCTTAAATGGTTTAGGGGTTTGGTTTTGTTTTTTACTAAGGCCTTCAGTGAAGTTTGAACTTCTTCTTTCTTCAGTATCATTAGTTCTTGATCGTATATTACCTCTTGAAATTCCTTCCATCTTCTTTTGATGCTTCCTGTGTTGTTCAATATCTTCCAGTGGAATTCTCCCATATATAACTGGAGGCTTGAATTTGTTCTTCATTGCTTTCAGCTCAAGAAATGTAGGATACCCAAGCAACAATAGCAAAGTTCAATAGGTCAGCAAACAATAAATGCAGGTGAAGTTGTGGAGAGATTGGAACTCTTATTCATTGCTGGTGGGAATGTAAAATGGTACAACCACTATGGAAGGTAGTCTAGCATTTTCGCAAAATGTTGAAAATAGAAATACCATTTGACCCAGCCATTCCTCTACTGAGAATATAGTCAAAAGAAACCAGAGCCATGACTCAAATAGATGTATGCACACTCATGTTTATTGCATTATTCACAATAGCACAGAGATGGAAGCAACCCAAGTGCTCATCAACAATGGTTAGGAAGACTATGGTACTTTCACACAGTGGAATATTACACAGCACTGAAATACAATGAACCCATAAAAATTACAAACATGGGGTAGCCTAGAAGCCATTATGCTTAGTGAAAGAGCTCAGCCACAAAAGGATAAACACTGCATAATACTTCTTTTATAAAATAGAGCAGACGTGGGGATGGGGTTGGGGAGAGAATGGGAAATGAACACTGAAGTAGAACAGATGAGGGGAAGAACTGTCTGAAAGAAATATATGATTAGTCTATATATATGACAACAATCTGGAACAAGGGGTGCATTGTGAGGCGGGTTGGAGAGGAATGAGAAGAGGTGGGGAAGAAAATGTGCAACAATGAAAAAAGTTAAAACATTTTTTATGTTAAAAAAGGAAGTGTAGAGTATCTTCTTCCCTTCTGATTTTCTAACTCCAGGTCTTTTCCCATTTCATTACAATATTTTGCTTTCTTAAAGTGCCCTTTCACTTCTTCTGTTTATCTTTTTACTTCATCATTTCTTCCATTTCCATGTGCTCTAGTTACTCTACATTCAAGAGCAAATGTCACAATCTGTCCTGAATCACTTTGGTCTCTTCTTTTTCATAACAGTTTGCTTTCTTCAGGAACAATGTCTTTGATGTCAACCCACATTCATCTGGTCTTTGATAATTAGTGTTTAGTGCATCAAGTTTCTTGAGAAGGTCTCTAGATTTAAGTGGAGTTTGCTCATGACTCATACTTTGGCTCTCATGCACTTGTTATAATTTTTCAACTTCAGCATGGACTTGGATATGAGCAATTGATGATTTGTTCCACAGTCAGCCCCTCGCCTTGTTCTGAGTAAAGAATTTTAGCTTTGTCACTACCACTTTCCATAGATTTAGTCCATATAACTCCTGTGTATTATTCCGTGAGGTGAGATCTGCGTGTGCAGTCATCAATTATGTGTGGAAGAAAAGTATTTCCTATGAATATTTTTTAGTCCTGCAATATTCTATCATGTGATCCCTGCCATCATGTCTATCTCCAGGGCCATGTTTTCTAGCTACCAGTTCTTGTTGCCAATTATCGTATTCCAATCAACAGTAATTATTAAAGAATCTTGATTGCATGTAGATCAATTTTAGACTGTAGAAGTTTATAAAAATGGAAATCCAAAGTCTCTGTAAACGTTCATTAAAATTAATAATTTTTTAAAATCTGAACTATCTTCATACTTGGTGTGGTTGATGCATAAATGTGTATAATAATCCTATGAACTGATTTTCCTTTTAGGTAAATGGATGTTATTTTATTGCTGACAATATTGTACTGGTGGGGTTTTTTCTTTCCAGCATTTCTCTTCAGGATAGATCCTGAAATTTTCTTTTTTATGATTAATGGAACATCATACCTTTCAAATTTGTCATTCGGTTGTGTGATTTGACTTGCAGCAACCTCACGTACAACAGATTGAGACCTGGCGCAATCATTGCCTCCAAGGAGCGCGCCGCTGCTCTTCCTCCAAGATAGTTTCCATTGTTCTTTGGCAGTCTGTGGTATATTCAGCACTGTTCACCAACACCACAATTCAAAGGCTTCCTTTCTTTGGTTTCCCTTATTCGTCCAACACTCACATGTACAATGGATCATAAAATTGTCCAATTCAAAGTGGCCTGTCTGAGAACATTTCAGCTCACTAGTGGCCCCAGATACAGACTTTTATGGGTTCCATTTCAATTTGTTATGACTTCCAATTTTCTTTTTTTTTTTAAATTAAAAAGGTTTTTTTTAAATTCCATTCATTCATT